GTCCTCAATGTATTCAAAAATAAAAATGGAGGCCAGGTGTGGTGGCTAACACCTGTAATCCCATCACATTGGGAGGCCGAGGCAGGTGGATCACCTGAAATCAGGAATTAGAGACCAGCCTGGCCAAGAAGGCAAAACCCCATCTCTACTAAAAATACAAAAAAGTTAGCTGGGCGTAGTGGCACGGGCCTGTAGTCCCAGCTACTCAGAAGGGTGAGGCACAAGAATCACTTGAACCTGAGTGGGAAGGGTATAGTGAGCTGAGATCATGCCACTGCACTCCAGCCTGGGCAACAGAGCAAGACTGTCTCAATAAAAAGGAAGAAAAAATGGATAGTAAAAAAAAAATTAGTGTTTCTCAAATTGATGATTTGTTTTCTATGCCTAAAGAATCTTCCCAGTTATATTTACTTCAGAATTAAGGGAAGAAAATAAAAAATGACTTTTTCTTGAGACTCCTAGCAAATGATCTAAAAGTAAGAAACAACCTTTAAGAGGAGCAAGAGATGAGTTAACTTCCACACACCAAATACACAAATGCACGCACACACACATTATTGTAGATTAATGATTATTTTGAGTGCAGGGACTTGTAGCCTCAAAATATTATGTTTTTCATAGTCTTGTGAATTAGGTATTATTTATTGATTAAGTCTAAATATAACAAGACTTTATATCAAACTACAAATGTTAAAAACATAGCTGATATAGAGAAAATGCAAGTGAATTATTCATAGACATTTCATTTTTATTTTTAAAATCTATTAAGCTATTGGAAAATATGGAAATTCCTAATTCTTATATTTTCTGCTGATGCCAAGCCTGGCCTACATAGCTACTCTGGAAATAGTCTGTAAAATTATTCGAATAACCCTAATCATTGCCAGCCTGTAATCCGAATGTGAGGATATGTGGTCAGAGCAGTTCTGCAGTGTAGCTGAACTAGTACTGTCCTTGATGTTAGATTTTAAAGTTTTCTTGGGAAATGAGACACCAAAGAGGAGAAATTAGTCAAAAATATATATCATGGCTCATCCATTTAAATGTTGGCCTTCCTTCTTATTAGAACTTATTACAAATGCTACACCAGTAAAGTGAGAAGAATGATGCAGAATAGGGGGTTTTACCTCAATACGATGGGCGTTTCCTTCTTCCTAAATCTCAGTATCAAGGCTTTGTGTATTATGAGCACTACTTCTGTGTGTTCTACCCAGTGGCTTCATCTCACAATGACAAACCAGAAAAGAGCTAAACTACGATCCTGCCTTCAGGCTGATGGTGGCAAATGAAAGCTTGTAATTAAAGGTAGCTCAGTTTGTATTGGGCTGATGCTTTCATTTGGGCTAAGTATCCAATCCAGTCAGCCCAAAATTCAGACTCCCTCTCTGGGCTGTTTCTGTGCTCTAGAGGGTCTCTTTACCTCTCTTCATTTTCTTTCTGGCATCCAGGTGACATAAGGATTGTGCACCCTTAAGGAACATGTTATAGGTGGTCTGGCCTGCTTACCTCTGTCTCTGCTGCCTCCTCCTGGCTCTGGGTGAGGTGTGCCTGTATTCCCAGGTAGACTGGCACCCTTTCATCTGCTGCTAAAGGAACCTCTGCTGCAGTAACTTCTAGTCAATTCTCTTGCTGCCTTTCCTTTCCATGCCAGCCCCACATTTGGGGGACTCATCTCCACTTTGGCTCTCACTGGTACTGTAGATCTTCTGAAGCCCACTTGTCTACAAGGGCCTGTCCTGTCTTAAGCCTTCTGTCCTATATCGTTTCCATATGTCATCCTATTCCTTACCACTGTGATCCCTGGCAGGCCCCTGGCTCTTAACTCTTAGCTAACATCCATGTTCCCCACTGGAAGCATGTGGAAACTTCTAGGCTCTCTGGCTCCACCCCAGAGCTAAGGGAGACTACACAGCAGGTGTGGAATGGGAAATTGCCTCTCCTGCCTAAGTACACTTCAGCATAGTTTCTCTTTTACACAGCAACCACCTTCTACTGGATAGTCTCCTCCTAAAGCTGGGAAATGGAGGCTGTACACAAACACCTTCCTTCATCTGCTTTTGTTACCTTCTGTCCCCTTGTTCCCTCCAGATTTTCCACTTCTCCCTAGTAGAAGAGGTTCTACTTCCCTTTTCTGTGAAAGAGGAACATGTCTTCCTCCACAGAATGTAAAGCCATGCAGACTTCACTTGTTCTGTTGTAGTTTTGCCAATGCACCTTAAAGTAGCGGTTTCTCATTGTCTAAACTAGTACCTGGGGTTCTTTGTCCTACATCCAAGAAAATGAAGGAGCATGAACACAAGGGTAGGGGCGGAGGGAAAGTTTAATAAGCAAAAGAAAGCACTTCGAAGCAGAGAGGGGAGTCCGAGTGGATTGCCGAGTTACAGCTAAATCCAAAAGCTTTTATAAGAAACTCTTCTCAGCTCTGTAGCCGTTTGAGCAACTTTTCATATCAGTAAAGCTGTCTGTGCAGCTCCCTTATCTTATGCAACTGTGGGTATGTCTCTAGCAAGCACAAAGTGCTGCTTCTCTTGTTTTACACTGTGGGTTTGCTTTAGATATGCCCCCATCCTCCCTGTGTCAGTTTCCATGGAGCCTGGCATGTGTATGCCTGAAAAGGGGAGGAAACTTTTTCCTGGGAGCTCACTAATTATGCAAAGAATAAAGGACTTCTGTGCTGGACCCTGTCAGCTTATCTGTGTGCAGCTGCGGCCTGAGTTTTTCCCAGGTGGTTTTAATTTTACCTGTTGCTGTGACATGGCAGCCAGACAACTTCTGCAGTGAGTTTGACCCACCTGATTTTTCTTTTCCTTCTCCCTCAGTTCTAGAGGGTATCTCAAAGTAGAAAGATTGTGGGGTGGAGAGTAGACATTACTGAGAACAAAATACATCAAGAGACATTTCAAAAATATTATCCCCAAAGCAATTCAGGAAAGAATTACGGAGCAGCTGTTATATGTTGTATGCTGGAAATATGGCATTGAGCAAAATAGCTGAGGCTCCTGTACTTAATGAGCTTACAGCCTTGAAAATTTTGTAGGAAAGGATTCTATGCAAGGGCATAGAGATATATACAAAAGGATGATTATTGAAACATTATTATAAAATCAACAGAAATGCCCATCAATAAAGCAATAATTCAGTAGACTAACAGCCATACTATGGAACATTAGACTATGGAAGAGCCATACTATGGAATATTCAATAATGTACTGAAACATTATTGTAATGTTTTAATTCTTATTAAAAGAATTATGTAAGTCTTATACATACTCACATGGGAGAAAAGTCTATATATACTCATCTGAACATGTGTTCTATATATATAACGACATGTCTCCATGAGTATACAAAATCTGAAAAAATATATACAGCCAACTATTACTAATTTCCTCTAGGAGATGAGATTTGACATCTAGGGGACATCTCTCTTCCTTAGAAAAGGGAAGTAGAAGCTCTTTTAGGAAGAGGTAGAAAATCTGGAGAGAACAAGAGGATTGAATGTAACAAAACCTGCTAAAGAGAGGCAGGGAGGGAACTTTCACCGTTATGTTATATACTTCTATATTGTTTAAATTTTGTGCAACAAACTATGCATTACTTTGTAATTCTTAAGACAAATAAGAAAAATATATACCAATAGAGTTATTCTGGCACATAACCTGGTTTACATTTTTAAATTATTATTTCTAAGTTATACATTGGTGAAAGGAGATGGAAATATTACACAACACACAACATAAAATTACCCTCTATTCCAGCTCTGTTGTCCCCTGTCCTCTGTAAGAATGCAAGGCCTTCAGATGTTCCCCAAATGGTGGTCCCTAGGACAGCAAAGGGGTCCTCACCAGCCTCTGTCATCTTCACCTCACTCTCTTCCTTCCTCCTTTAGCCCCTCAGTGTTTCTCTTTCCTTTCTCCCATTCAAAGTTCCTATCTTGCCTTTATCCCCAAGTTCCCATCTTCTGCCTTAGAAATCAGCAATTCCCTAATTTCCATTCATGTGTTACATGTTTTCACCAATTCTGGTGTCTGTTGTAAATAAAAATTGCTGTCTTTCTCACTCAGTCCTGCTGTTTTAAGCCCCAGTGGTTAGAGTCAGAGGAAGAAAAATGTCGCCTGAGTCTCCATCTGGGTTACAGTTAATTTGGGGGATTATTATCCCTATCTATCTAAAATCAGGCATACCGTGCTCTGACTGCTTTAGTTTCTCCGGAAACACTTACCACATCTTCCTACAAGATCTCTTTTTACCCACTACTACGTTTTTGAACTTATTCTGAAAGAGTGTTTGGTCCCTCTCAACTTTGGGCTGGTTACACTGCAAAGTATTCTTTCAGAATCAAAATGAGCCTTTTTACTCGGCCCTGTTTGGGGTTTCTTCTATTTAGGAAGAAGCTTCTGGAAACTACACCTGCTACAGTTGTTTCAAATAGTTGTGTAGAACAACTAAGCTGTTTAGCTAATCTAAAAGCTCTAAACAATATTAGCACTTTGTTCATTCCACAGTAAATTTCTGAATGTTTGCTGTATGCCTCAGGTCAGCCTGTGAATTTTTTTCTGAATATTTTAGTCAAACATAGTAATGTAATGTGTTTAGTTTTCAAATACAGTAATATAATGGTTTATTTATAACAAGTGAAATAAATCTCTTATGCCAAAGCTCATTTCAATAAGGAAAGTAAAGATCCAAGCCATGAAAAAAAGCCAACCACCTCGTAGCTGCAAATACTATCTTAAGCATCCTCAGCATAAATTCACAAATTAGTTCTTTTTATCACAGAATAAGTATTGGGTATGCAGTAGCTTTATCTAGGGTGACTTTTATCTCATAACAGTTTCTCTCTTTTATCTTGTGTTTCTGTTAAAATATTAAAGGTTGTATTTCATTCACTTACCACAGCTAAATTAATATTATGTAATCCAATCAGAAAATATCGTCAGCTTGGAGCCAAGCATTATAGATTACCTGTAAATAAATATGATGAAATTTTCTCTTTACAGATGCAAGTATTGGCATTATGATGAAAACCTGCTCACTTCCAGTGTTGTCATTGTCTTCCACAATGAAGGATGGTCAACCCTCATGAGAACAGTCCACAGTGTAATTAAAAGGACTCCAAGGAAATATTTAGCAGAAATTGTGTTAATTGATGATTTCAGTAATAAAGGTAATAGCTGTAAAACTTACATTTTGTCTATAAAATAAGTTAAGAATGAATAATTACAAAAATGTGACTTCAAAATAATCAGCTTTAAAAAATTAATAGTTGGCATCTATTGATAGTGTCTGTTATCAACAAGCTGACACTGTGCCAAGCATTGTATGTGAGTTATTTTGTTTCATACTAACAGTAATCCTTGCAGTAGATGTTATTATGTCCATTTTACATGCTTAGAGACGTACAAGTAGTACACAAAAATTCGGTAAAAGCATGCCACTGATTATATTAGAAGTGAAGATAAACAAAAGTAACATGAAAATATCATACAAAATGGCTTTATAAAAAAAGCTTCCTTCAAAACTTGAGAATTCTTGTAGTCTGGATAAACCTATGCTGGTTTTGCAAGGGCATGTTTAGAATCTTGAAACTACACATTATGTTAGCACAAATAAATAGAAATATGGCCTATTTCTTTATCCCTTCATCTCTGTGCAGCTGATCATTTTATTAACTAGTCATATTTAAGTACATAAGACAATGTATAGCTTTAAAATTTTTAGTCATATCAAATGCATTTGAGTAGAGGCTTTAAGATAACGTTAAAACTTTTTTTCAGTTCTCATGTTAATGTCAAATCTAAGAGCTTTTAGGCAAAACATTTTGTTCATGTCTATTTTGTTTATGTCCAACTTGGTTGCAATTTTTTTTGGCAGTGATGTTTTCATTAAAACACTATTTCTGTCTCAAGAAAAATGATATTGTTGGTACAATAATAATTTAGATGTACAAAAATCTAAATCTATAAAATAATTTTACTAATTTTAAGAACCTCTATATTATTAATAGTAAAAGCTTATCATATCCTAAAAAAAGTGAAGATATACCGAAAGGTATTTAGCATCCTAAAATAACTGCTTTGCCTTAGAAAAGAACACAATTTCAGACCTCAAAGTATTGTGTATTTTGCTTTCGTCTTTTTTTTTTTTTATCATTACTTCTTTTACAAATCTCTCATGAAGACAAGTCATGCAGGGTCCCTTGAGTTTAGAGTATGCAGAGACGTTTGGGCTACCCGTGAACAAAAGTACAGCTTTAATTAGTTTTTCCAATTTCAAAACAACCTTAAAATCTGTCATATCCTTAGTAAAATTATATCGTATTTGGTTATCAGACTTCAGTCATAATTTGGTGTGCACTTTCCCTAATAAATTCAGAAAGTAAAATTAAGATAACGATTTTTCTTTTAAAAACAAAATACATATAAAACCTCACAAACGAGCTAATTCATTATGCCACTTGGGTTTCTGGGCATTACAGTATCCTCTCTAAAGAGTTTGGAGTAAATTCCTCCACACACATGTGCATCAGCCAGTTGTGGCTCAGTTGGGCCAAAGTAAAAGCAAACCCACTCTCAGTGGCTTGCATAAGGAAGGATTAGCTTTTGCTCAAACTATACGGTGCCTGTGAATCGGCCGTAGCTTTGCACTCCATCCTCACTGCAGGGCGCAGGCGTGCAGGACAGCCTAGGCTCGGACACTGCGTAGAGAGGGTTGTGGGAAAGAAGACACACACAAGTGGCCTCTTAACGCTTCTGCACACGTGACTGACGTCATTTCCACCCACTGCTTGGCCACAGCAAGTCACGTGGCCCAGCCTGCAGTCAGTGGGTTAGGGAGGGTAATTTTCACCCAAGGAAAGGCAGTGAATATCTTGAGTCCTAACACAGTGTATAACAATGTGAGATACAAAGAAGCCAAAAGGCATTGGACGCACCATTTCCACCTTTGGTCCGTGGTAACCAAGAATCTAAATTTGAAGGATGGGCCATCAATTCATTTCTGTCCATAAAACCTTAAGATATGTTTAAGTTATATATCAAAAAAACTCTCCTAATGGAATTCAAAAAGTCTTGAAAGAAATAATTTAGGACTGTACTGAACTTTAAAAAGAAGATGATACGGGTTTTTTTTTTTTTTTAAAGTTAACTTGAAGGGAAAATTACTCAGGTTTTCTGGGGGAAAACATGATTAAGCACGAGGATTTTATTTATAATACTTATTAAAACTGGCCACCAAAATAGGAAGTTGTTTTTCTCAATTCCAGTTACCCAAGTGTATCTTACTAATAATAAACACCCTAAAATGAGTCAAATATTAAATATACAGTCTGATTTGCCCATTTATCCACTAACTCATCTCTAAATGCAGCAGTTTTCTTGTGATTGCGTATTCATGGGCCAGATTTTTAAACAATTTTAAAACAATTTGTGTGTCCTCGAGAAGCATCTTTTAAAGGATCTGCAGCTCCTTCTGACTGGTGATCTTATTTCATGGACTCATAGTGGTATAAACAAAAGCTGTTCACTTACAATGGAAAGCCGAGATGGAAACTTTGCCAAATATGTCTGGTTTTTTGTAACACAAAATTTCCTCTACTAAATTACAGACACATATATACATATATATGTATGTATAATTATATTTATAAGGTGTAATTATGCACTTGTTACTTAAGATAAAAAATGAGATTTCTTTTTTTATGCCAACTTATTGGGAAGCATATTCATTACACCGAGGTTACAACTTTCAACACTGATTGTGGTTGGGGAAAGACGGCCCAGAAACGAATGTTAAATAACCTATACCCTGTGTGGATTCCAGTGAAATTGTATATTATTAGTAGGGAATGCATCTTCAGAAACCCTAACCATTGCTTCTGCCAACAGCAAACAAAATGTTGTTCCTTAAAGCGTTCAGATTTGACATTAACATGTGAACTGAAAAAAAAGTTTTGACCTGTCTTAAAACCTTACCTGTAAATTGGAATAATTATTGTTTAGAGGGATGTTTGACAATTCTCACACTAACCAGTTCTTTGTAGGCATATTAAACCCAAAATTAACTTAAATAATATGCTTCATCTTCCTTCTTAATAGATAAAACATTCAGTCTGGTCCATGTAAAATTACTGCCTACCCAATGCACCTGTTTCTTATTCTTGTTTCCTGAGAAAAATAATAATTAACTGGTTTTTATTCATTAGTCTGATTTATAATATCAATTGATTTTTCTTAATTAATAGAGCACTTAAAAGAAAAACTGGATGAATATATTAAGCTGTGGAATGGCCTAGTGAAGGTATTTCGAAATGAGAGAAGGGAAGGTTTAATTCAAGCACGAAGTATTGGTGCTCAGAAGGCTAAACTTGGACAGGTAGGAAGCATTTGATATCTACAATGTCAACATTTTGGGTTTAGTAATTAAATCATATACATTTCTAAACATCCTTCAGTTTTTTTTTTATTGAAATGAGAATGCTGGCTTAAACAGATAACTTGTGTGTCAGAATTAACTATAATGCTAATTTTTATTAGCATCTAATTTTAAATTGTTTGTAATATATGATGTGACATATCTGAGGAGTATTCTTTCACCTGCCTCTTTTTTTTAAGGTTTTGGTATACCTTGATGCCCACTGTGAGGTGGCAGTTAACTGGTATGCACCACTTGTAGCTCCCATATCTAAGGACAGGTAACACTACCTTGCTTTTGTTCTTTCTTGATTGAAAAGTAAACCTTGTCCTAGAAGGGCAAATGATATTTTCGTTCTTTGATTCCAGTTCCATTCAGTGCATCAAATGTGCTTTAGTGTTATCCCTCATCTAGCAGTTTCCTGGGTGGAGCTAGACTGATACTGTGGACTGTTTCAAATGTAGGCAGTCTGGCATTTGGGAGAAACCTAGGGTTCTTCATTCAAGGATCATTTCGTGGTTGGGTTATTGAGACATGTCTATCTACAAGCACTTTCTCTAAGAGTAATATGAATTGCTCCCTCTAAACTGGGATAAGAGGTTTAAACACTTGAGGAACCATGCTTTGAAATTATACCTATTGATTCTTATGCCTTTCAGTATAAAAACATCAAGCGTTATTTGTGTCAAGGCTTTGGGTTCCTATAGAAACTTTAAAGATTAGAAATAGACAACTATCCCATGAAATGTGGCAGTCACCATTAAGTTTCCAGAAATGTCTAAAACGATGTTAGACACCATCGGTTTTCTAGCTCGATCTTCCTTGTTTCTAGTCCATAATTAGGAAGATAAAACATGTCCATGTGGCAAATGGCAAGTGGCATGAATCAAAAGCAGCACTTTGGAGGATTTAATCATGAGAGGATTTAATGTGAAGGCCTATCATGAGCATTTTTCACAGGCTGTCTAATTTAATCCTCATAGCAACCCTACGAGATAGATTATTAGCACCATTTGACTGAAGAGGATACTGAGGCTTAGAGAAATTAAGTAATTTTCCCCAAAACAGATAGCTAATACACTGTCAGACCATGGCCTCCCTGGGACACTTTACACTGCCTTATGTATTTAGGAATGTGAAAATTATAAGCAATGAGGAAAGATAACTGACAAAGTGTCAGGTAACTCTCTCTAGGTGAATACCAGCAGTCTTCCGGGCAGTAAGGAAGTGGTTTTCCAAATTCCAGTGGCAGATTCCACAAATCTCACAATGACCCTCCAGTGTGAGTTCACGCTCTGTAGAGACTGAAGCACCTTTCTTGACTTCCCCCATATTAAAGTTTGAAGCCCTATAGGTTTTCCCTTTTCCTTGGTTTTTAAACTTCTAAAAAGCACGCTGACCCAGATATAAAAAGCTGTCATTGTCATTTCAGGAAAATTGATTTTAAAATCCTTTCTGACGAGATGAACATTGCAACAATCAGGGTACCAGATAATCTTTGTAATGTCACTTTGACATCTCATTGGTTATAGAGTACTAGCATTTTCATGAAGCTCAAATATAAAGGATTATTTGTTCCAGATTCTCAGACCACTTCTTAAGTTCTTCAGCAAGTTTGGAGGGATTTTTTTTTTTTTTTGCTTGTTGTTTGTTTTTTTAAGCAACAGTACCTTTTTTTGGACAATAAAAGCTGTTTTCTGCAGTCAGAGGAGTGAGGAAGATCAAGTAAAAGTACAGAAACTCATTTTCGTAATAACTGTTTCCAAGAAATAGAAAGCAACAAAGAGTTGGGAGAACTGCTAATCACGTGGCAAGTACTATGACCCTACACACACACATGTGCATGCACACGCACGTGTGAACTTTTTAATGGGTGATAGGGAGGGAAACTAATAGGCCAGAAATTCTTATAAATAATACAAAATTACCAAAAGAAAGTTACCATTGGGACCAAAGTGAAAAGGAGAAAACTCTATTAAGCTCAATGATATGGTTCCTTGTCCCTGACATTTGTCTGTAAGCCTAGGGGGACATCTCCTCTCTCCTGCCCTTATAAAAACAGGCTTTTTGGCTTTTATGGGACATCATTTACTCTATTTTCCGTGAGATATTAAGTCCCCTGGCACACAAACAAATCACCAACAGAAAGAGATAATGTAGTTAGGCATGCTGAGTCTTGGGTTCTTAAATGCGTTTTCATTTTCTGTAAATGTTTCAGAACTACATGTACTGTGCCTCTAATAGATTACATAGATGGGAATGATTATTCCATTGAACCACAGCAAGGTGGGGATGAAGATGGTTTTGCCAGAGGGGCCTGGGACTGGAGTTTACTATGGAAACGTATTCCTCTAAGCCACAAGGAAAAAGCCAAAAGAAAACATAAAACTGAACCTTATCGGTAAAGACTGTTACTTTATTTTCTTATGCTGAATGTTTATTTAAGTCCTTTTTTTTTCTTCCTCATGAACTCTTATAAATGTGTGGGTCCATACATACGCTTCCATTTGGTCTTTGCTGCCATCATCAACACAATACAGAACCATTTGCACTGTGCCGCTTATCGATGTCATAAATGGCAACACATATGAAATTATACCCCAAGGGGGTGGTGATGAAGATGGGTATGCCCGAGGAGCATGGGATTGGAGTATGCTCTGGAAACGGGTGCCTCTGACCCCTCAAGAGAAGAGACTGAGAAAGACAAAAACTGAACCATATCGGTAATCACTAAATCACTTACATATTTTTCTTTTCTCCAGTTGCTGCTAACCTATTAACCTCTTGCCAAGCTGAAGATTTGTTATTAAAACTGTATATAGATGCTGTCTCAGATTCTGAAAGAGCATCTTTCCTTATACTGTTTCAGAGCTTTGAATTCACATTTGCTCCATGTTAATTGCTTTTACCCTAAATGTGATATCCACTATTGAGACCTACACACTTTCATTGGGGAAAGAAAAATAATGTAATAGAACATTTGTTAGAAGTACAAGTGAAAAAAAGAAAATCTTAGTTATCCTGTCCTACTAGATTAGACATCAAATTTTATTCTTTGGATGACGGTGTTATTCTATAAATTTAAAATACATAAATTATTTTCAATCCAACAAAGACGTTTATTTCCACGTTTATGATGTGGATATAGTGTTAACAGTGAAGGGCACTAGCAGGAGACTTTTGGGCTTTTCTCCCCTTTTATTGTTATGTTAACTCTCAAATGCTAATTTTGTACTAGTGAAATCTGATGATTCACAATACATGACTTTAAAAATTTCATGTAGAATCCTTTATTGCTTCTTCTCAGAAAAGTGATTGATTAAAGAAAACTCTATTCCAAAATCACCTTTTGTCCCTTCTTGTGGTTCTTTCGGTAGAACTTATGCTACTCTCTTCTTTTGATCTGGTAATTAGAAAATTTTAATGTCTCTCAAAAAGTCACCCCAAATGAAATGTTTGCTCAGATGTTAGTATAGCCTTCTCCTGACTGTGTCTAATGTTGTTTTTCTGATCCTGTGGTTCTGCTTTTGGTCTCTCTCTTCCTGTTACACTGCTGATAACGTTAGAACTCTGTTTTGGGAAGGTGCTTCCAATGTCATGCAAATGCTGGTGGGATTTGGGCATGTCATGACATCAAGATACTGAAAGGCAAACATAAAGAAGTTATAGCACTTAATTATAGTAGCTTAATTGGACACTTACCAAATTGTTTTTGTAAATTTCTTATTCAGAATAGTCCAGGAATCTACTGTTTACCTACTGAACAAATAACTGTGGGAGAAAAAAACAAAGGGTGCTGAGCAAATTTACATTTTTTTCATAATTCCACAGGCCAGTAAAGAAAATTCTTCAAGTGAGCTAGAAAAATTAAAGGGAGGTTATCTGTTAATTAACTCACTGGCTTCCATGTTAAGATGCATTTTCATGTATATACTGAGATGAATGGGAATATATTTAAAGATGAAAAGATAAAAAAAGATACAGGTATAATGGAATAATCTTAAATGACAGTTAAAATAAATGTGACATGAAAATATCACCTAAAACATAATGGTGCTGTTACCGAGTTAGGCAGCATACTTTAAGAAGAAAAGTCATGAGAGGACAACTTCCTCCTCATGCTGTTTTCTTTCATTATTAAAAATATTTCTCAATTCATTGTTTATCCATTCAACAAACATTTACTGAGTGCTTACTATATGCCACGCACTATTTTCTGGGGATAAAGTTTTAAAGATATGTTTCCTCATTGAGCTTAAAATAGAGTAAGTCAGACAGAAATTAAACAGTTAACTACATAAATAACCCTAAAATTAGCCTGGTGTCCTGGCATGTGCCTGCCTGTAGTCCCAGCAATTAGGGAGGCTGAGGCAGAGGGATTGCTTGAGCCCAAGAGTTCAGGGCTGCAGTGAACTCTGATTGTGCCACTGTACTACAGCCTGGGCAACAGAGTGAGACCCTTTCTCATAGACAAACTCTGGAACAGCAGCTGTGATAGGGAGTATGAAGAAAAATCACAGAGTACATGAGTTTATGGAAAGATGAACCTAATCCAGCCTGGGCGATCAGGAAAAGGCCTGATGACATTTGTCATTTAGGCCAAGACCTGAAGAATGAGGGCCCAATCCTGCGGAAAAGGAGGGGGAACATTTCAGGATCATGAATAACATGAGTGAAGGCCTTGAGACAGAAAGGAGGATGGCACATTCCAGGTGGGAGCAGAGCAGTGAAGGACACATGGAAGGAGAGAGGATGGTGAGACCAGAGAGCTAGGAGAGGCTGGTATCAGGCAGTTGCATGTGGAGGAGTCTGCTCTGGCTGCTGTATGATTAGACTAGGGTAGGGGCAGAAGAGAATAAAGGATACAGCTCGGGAGATACTGCAAAATCCAAGTAGTGTTGGCTTGGTGTAGGCTGGTGGCAGTGAAGTTGGAAATAAGTCAGCAGATTCAAGATGTATTTTCAAGGCTGAGTGCCGTGGCTCACACTTATAATCCTAGCACTTAGGGAGGCATAGGCGGGTGGATCTTTTAAGCCCAGGAGTTCTAGGCCAGTCTCTGCAATATGGCGAAACCCCGTCTCTACAAAATACAAAAAAAGGTAGCCAGATGTGTTGGTGTGTGCCTATAGTCCCAGATATTCAGGAGGCTGAGATGAGAGGACTGCTTGAGCCTAGAAGGTTGAGACTGCAGTGAGCCACGATCATGCCACTGCACTCCAGGTTGGGCAACAGAGTGATACTATGTCTCAAGGGGGAAAAAAAATATATATATATATATATATTTTTTTTTTTTTTCAAGGTAGAATCAATGGAACCTTGAAATGGGTTTCATTGAAACTGTTTGAATAGATTATTTAGGTATGATGTTGAAAAAGTTACTCTAATAATATTGAGTGCCCTAAAATTTAAGAATCATGATGCATTAGTAATTAATTGTTCAGGAGAGAGAGGGAAGAAGAGAAATGCTGCTATCATTTCTTTCAATGATGGGAGTGACTTGTCCCTAAGAAGCTGCCAAATCTTTTTTCTCTTTGACCTAAAAAGTGTCCAATTTAAGATCCATTCAAGAAGCCCCATAGATTCACAGGTCACCCTTTTGCATTCCTACCTCCTGGCACAGTAAATATCTATGTCTAATTCTCCTGTGTCATTTCTGTGCTACATTTGCAAACTCTGAATGACCTGTGGTTGTTGTACGATGATTCACACTCTTATTTGGCGAGCCCCTGAGCTATAAAATTAAAAAATGACAGACTACTTCCATGGTGTATGGTTTTGTTCATCCAAGAATGACTCATAAATCAATGCAGGAGCAGTTAGCAGACCACGGCTTTGTGGCTCAGTGTTTTTAAGAGTGAAAGAGAAATTTTAACCAAGACTTAATTTTTAAATCGACAAAGGAACCAAGGCGCCCTCTAATGGTGAAATGAAACAATGCTCTATTTTGTAATGAACTATAGTTTCAGTTAGAAACTGGTAAATTTGTGAGGGAATTATGAGCAGATATTTTTCTTTTTTTATAAAGGCTTTATAATTTCTTAATGTTTGCCCATCAGTTTTGTCTCTTCTATGCATTTTATGCTGTATTCTACAAGGCTTCTTGCCTGTTGGTGAAGGGATATTGGGGTTTGTCTGTAATGGTTATTGCAGTGTTTCTTTTTCTTAGGTCCCCAGCCATGGCTGGGGGATTATTTGCCATTGAACGAGAGTTCTTCTTTGAATTGGGTCTCTACGATCCAGGACTCCAGATTTGGGGTGGTGAAAACTTTGAGATCTCATACAAGGTAACAGTTTTTTAAACAGATGGAATTTTCCAAGTAGTTACTAACTTCTGTGGCTTTCAGATAAAGCTGATTTCCTGTGGGGAAAAAAAATAAAATAATTATATAATGCATTTCTCCAAATTATAAAGAATGACTTAACGAAAATGGATGCCTTTGGGGAAAAAATAAAACGCAAGCTCCAAACTTACCATGTATTTACAGGGCTCAGCTCAAAATTGTGGCCAGCAAGCTTTAGAAATGAAAATATCTACCCCCCCACACCCCAACTTTCTATATACTGGAGCTTTTTATTATAGGAACCCCTGGAAGAATCTGCATGCATTAGGGCCACGTTGACCACCCACTGACATAGTCACCCTTTATCACTGTAGGACATGATGATTCAAGACAGAAGCAGAGCCCCACAATGACTGCATCCTCAGGCTGAGTTTGGAGCTGTCTTCCTGCAGCGTCTCCCCTGTTGTTGAGGCAGTCTTGGAGCAATACTTCCTTCCATGCTCTAGCCCCCATCTCCACCCCTATTCCTACCCTCATTTTCCAAAAGAGAGAGAACTATATCACAGTTTGAGTTAAACAGGTATTCATTACCTCTTGTCTTAAATGTCCTGTGCTTAGCACTGTGAGGGATAGAAGAGGAGTCATCAATCCTTTCAAGGAACTCGATGAGAAGATATTACAATTATACTTAAATTTGTAATACATTAAGAAGGCAGAATGGCAGTCAGTTGGTGTGATTAAGAAACAGCATCATGCCAGATGTAGAATTTGAAGTAGACCTAGAAAGATGGGTATAATGTTAATAAGCAGAGATAAGGGATGGGAGGGGGACTTCTAAGCAAGTAGCATGGGGAAAAGTACAAAGAAGGGAACACAAGGAATTTATTCAGAGAACAGTAAGCAGCACACTTCAGCAGAATCAGGCAACATGAATAAGGAAGACATCCAAGAAGATAAAATGGGAAGGTATGTTAGGACCATATTGAAGAGAGCCTTTAAAGCTGAGTTAAGAGATTTGTATTTAATTTGATAAGCAGTGGAGAACAATCAAGGATATTAAGCAAGGGAATAACATGACCCAAAGCTGCTCTTCAGCTATAATAATCTCTTGCTATAAATAAGGATAGTTGAGTAGAGAGAAGGTGAAGGTGAAGAAGCCAGTTAGGAGGTTATTATAATAATCACCCAAGTAGGAAATATATTAGCAATGGAAATGATGAATGAGTTAGGAATAAAGAATCAGCATGACTTTGCAAGGTTATGTTGGGAGAAAGTTGGTTGGGGCTATGAGTATGCAGGAAGAGGTCCCTTAGAAGCAGTTTATGATTCCTACTATATTCCCTACTGCCTTCCTTGTTGTTATATGAGTTTTTAAAAAGCAAATTATTTTAGTATTTGTTTAGCTTAAGAATTCTTTGTGGATACTGTATATGATTTAGACTTTACATTTACATTAACAAGATAAATTGTCGGTTGCATTTTATGTTTGTATTTGAAACAACTTTCACAATGTGTTTTTTTCTTCATAGATATGGCAGTGTGGTGGCAAATTATTATTTGTCCCTTGCTCTCGTGTCGGACATATCTACCGTCTTGAGGGCTGGCAAGGAAATCCTCCACCCATTTATGTTGGGTCTTCTCCAACTCTGAAGGTGAGTTTTTTGGATAAAAGGAGAGAATAGGGAACTATCATTTTTGTACCACATGCTATAGTAGTTACTGAACAATTGTCAGCTTATTAAATAGGATAAATCTCTTCATCAGTCATGTTGATTCTCATCTTTAGTTAGCTGGACTTATTCATGAAATATCTTACTGTTCTTTAAGATTATTCAGCTGAGGCAGGAGGATTCCTTGAGCCCAGGAGTTCAAGGCTGCAGTGAGCTATGATTGTACCACCACACTCCAGCTTGGTTGACAGAATGAGACCCCATCCCTTAAAAAAAAAAAAAGATTGTACCCTATTTTTTTAATTGACAAGTAAATATTTATATATTTATCATATACATTACGATGGTTTGATATACCTATACGTTGTGGGATGGCTAAGTCTAGCTATTTAGACATGTGTTACATCACATACTTGTTTTTCTGGTAAGAACACTTAAAATCTGCTCTCAGCAATTTTCTTTTTTTTTTTTTTTTGGGAGGAAGGCAGGAAGGGAGGGAAGGAGGAAGGGAGGGAGGAAGGGAGGGATGAAGGAAGGAAGGGAGGGAGGGAGGGGAGGGAAGGGAAGGGAAGGGAAAGGAAGGGAAGGAAAGGAAGGAAATCAAGCAATGAGAGAGACATTGCCGACCTGGATCTAGAGGTTTACAAGTTGATTTCCTTTTTTTTTTTTCTTTTTTTGAGAGAAGGAAAGAAAAAAAAAATGAGTAAAGGAGGGGAAGAAAGAGGAAGAGAAAGAGGGAGGGTGAATGGAAATATTGCTTTATTCTGAAAAAAAATGGGTATTAATAATGGCCAATCAGTGTTTCATTTAAACCTATGAGTAGGTGTGATGTGGTATTGACAAGAATGTATATTTTGTTTATTTGAAGTGGAGAGCTCTATAAATATGTATTAAGTTTACTTGTTCCGGATCTGAGTTTGAGTCCTTGATATCCTTATTAATTTTCTGTCTCATTGAATCTAAGTCTCTATGTATCTGGGTGTTAGGATCGTTAGCTCTTGTTGTTGCATTGATCCTTTTACCACTATATCTTTGTTGCTTTAAAATCTATTTTATCCGCTACGAGAATTGTAACTCCTGCTTTTTATTTATTTATTTATTTTTGCTCTCCATTTGGTTGGTAAATCTTTCTCCATCCCTCTGTTTTGAGTCTTTGTGTATCCTTGCATGTGAAACAGGTCTGGATGTAACATGCCGTTGGGTTTTGGCTGTGTCTTTTGATTGGGGGATTTAGTTGATTTAAATTTAGGGTTATTGCCATTTGATGTTAACTAGCTGTTTTACCCATTCATTGATGTAAATTCTTCTTTATGTTGGTGCTCTTTACTTTTTGGTATATTTTTAGCAAGGCTAATACTGGTTGTTTCTTTCTGTGTGTAATGCTTCTTTCAGAAGCTCTTGTAAAGCAGGCCTGGTGGTAATAAAATCTCTGAATACTTGCTTGTTCATAAAAGATTTTATTTTTCCTTCAGTTGTGAAGCTTAGTTTGGCTGGATATGAAATTCTGGGCTGAAGGTTCTGTTCTTTGAGGATGTTGAATATTGGCCCCCACTCTCTTCTGGCTTGTAGAGTTTCTGCTGAGAGATCTGCTGTAAGTCTGATAGGCTTGCCTTTGTGGGTAACCCGACCTTTCTCTCTGGCTGCCCTTAGTATTTTCTCCTTCGTTTCAACCCTGGTGAGTCTAACGATTATGTGCCTTGGGGTTGCTCTTCTTGAGGAATATCTTTGTTGTGTTCCCTGTTTTACCTGGGGTTGAATATTGTCCTGCTTTGCTAGTTTAGGAAAATTTTCCTGGATAATATCCTGAAGGGTATTTTCCAGCTTGGATTCATTCTCTCCATCACATTCAGGTACACCTATCAAACGTAAATTTGGTCTTTTCACATAGTCCCACATTTCTTGGAGACTTTGCTCATCCCTTTTTATCCTTTTTTCTCTAATCTTGTCTTCTTGTTTTATTTCATTAAGTTGGACTTTGACCTCTGCTATCCTTTCTTCTGCTTGAACAATTCGAGTGTTGAAACCTGTGCATACTTCTCGGAGTTCCTGTATTGTATTCTTCAGTTCCATTAATTCACTTATATTTCTCTCTAAGTTGTCTATTCTCAATAGGATTTCATCAAACCTTTTTTCAAAGTTCTTAGTTTCTTTACACTGGGCTACAACATGTTCTTTTAACTCACAGAAGTTTCTTGTCCATTCTCTAAAGCGTGATTCTGTTATTGGGATGCGCTCGTTCTCCATCAAGCCTTGTTCCATTGTTGATGTGGAACTGTGATCATCTTTAGAGCACATTCTGATTTTGAGTATTCTCAGCCTTTTTACTCTGGTTTCTTCCCATCATTGGAAATTTATCCTCCTGTCGTCTGTGAAATTACCAACTTTCAGATTAGGTCTCTTGAGTGGACGTCCAAGTTGTTAGTTCCCAGGTCCAGAACAGCAGCGTTAAGACTGATGGTGCTTTTCTGCCCAGGATTCTCCTGTCTGGCTTCCTTCTTGTGTCCGTAATAGGCGACTCTGCCTTCCCAGGGCTCCAAACCTCGGTCAGAAGGGGAGCCAGCCCTGTTTACTCTGCTTCGAGAGCTGCCGCGCCAAGGTGCCAGCGAAACCGCTGCGCTGGCCACGAGAGTCGCGCTGGTGACCGTGTGACTCCTCCACTGGGGATCTTCTGCTCCGTGAGCAACCAGAATTTGTCTGAAAGTGTGGCAACCTCTAGTTCTCTGCGCTTTCACTGAGAGCTGCAATCCTGAGATGTTAGCGATCAGCCATCTTGGATCCAATCAGCAATTTTCATATATGTAATATATTATTAATTGTAGTCACCATGTTGTATAATAGATTTCTTGAAATTATTCTTCCTAACGGAAATTCGTGTCCTTTGACCAAAATCCCCCCAACTTTCACCATTTTACTGTGTTTACTTGTGTACACTCCACATGTAAGTGATATCATACATGTTTGTCTTTCTGTGCCTGGCATATTTCACTTAACATAATATCCTCCATGTTGTTGCAAACGGCAGGATTTTCTTATTTTTTAAGGGTGTATAGTATCAATACCATCGTGTATATATACCATCTTTTCTTTACCCATTCATCTGTTGATGGACACTCAGCTTGATTCCATATCTTGGCTATTGTGTATATTGCTGCAGTGAACACAGAAGTGTAGATACCTCTTCGATATACAGATTTTATGTCTTTTGGATATATACCTACTGAAGAGATTGCTAGATCATATGATAGTTCTATTTTTAATAATTTGAGGAACCTCTGTACTGTTTTTCCAGAGTAGCTGCACCATTTTGCATTCCTACCGACAGGTAGAAGGTGGTATCTTGTGGTTTTAATTTGCATTTCTCTGATAATTAATAATGTTGAGCATTTCTTCATGTACCTGTTGGCTATTTGTATGTCTTTTTTTTTTTTTTTTAGAAATGTCTATTCAGGTTCATTGCCCAATTTAATCAGGTTTTTTCCTTACTATTGAGTTCTTTATATGTTATAGATATTAGCCCCTTGCCAGATATATGGTTTACAGATGTAGTGTCCCATTCCATAGATTGTCTCTTTACTTTGTTAATTGTTTCCTTTGCTTATAGAAACTGTTTAGTTTGATATAATTCCATTTGTCTATTTTTATTTTTGTTGTCTGTTCTTTTGGGGTTGTTAGATACAAAAAAAATCTTTGCCCAGACCAATGTTATGAAATTTTTCTATTTTCTTCTAGAAGTTTTACAGTTTTAGATCTTCATATAAGTCTTTAATCCACCTTGGGTTGATTTTTATATATGGTGTGAGATGAAGGTCTAGTTTCATTCTTTTTGCATATGGATATCTAGTTTTCCAAGCAACATTTATTGAAGAGACTATTCTTGCCCTAATGTGTTCTTGGCATCTACCTTGAAAATATGTGGATTATTTCTGGGCTCTCTGTTCTGTTCTTTTGGTCTATGTGTGTTTCTATGTGAGTACAATACTGTTTTGATTACTATAGCTTTGTAGCAGGTTTTGAAATTGGGTAGTGTGATGCCTCCAGTTTTGTTCTTTTTGCTCAAGATTGCTTTAGCTAGTCAAGGTTTTTTTGTGGCTCTATATGAATCTTAGGATTGATTTTTCTTTTTAATTTATGGGGAAAATATCCTTGAAATTTAGATAGGGATTATATTTAATCTATAGATTGCTTTTATAATATGAATATTTTAACAATATTAGTTCTTTCAATCCATGATCACAGGGTATCATTCTATTTATTTTGTGTATTACTCAATTTATGTTGTCAGTTTATATTTTCAGCATGTAGATTTTTCACCTCCTAAATATTTTATTGTTTTGCTTAATTATTATAAATGGGATTGTTTTCGTAGTTTGTTTTATAGATAGATCACTGTTAACATACAGAAATGCTACTGATTTTTGTATGTTGATTTTCCTATAACTTTATTAGATTTGTTTATTAGTTCTAACAGCTTTTTGTTAGAGTCTTCAAGGTTTTGCATATATAAGATCATGTCATCTGCAGAGACAATTTACTCCTTTTCTGATTTGGATGTCTTTTCTTTCTTTCTCTTATCTAATTGCTCTGGCTAAAACCTCCAGTAGGGGCCAGGCACGGTGGCTCAAGCCTGTAATCCCAGCACTTTGGGAGGCCGAGGTGGGTGGATCACGAGGTCAAGAAATCGAGACCATCCTGGTCAACATGGTGAAACCCCGTCTCTACTAAAAATACAAAAAATTAGCTGGGCATCGTGGCGTGTGCCTCAGCTACTCGGGAGGCTGAGGCAGGAGAATTGCCTGAACCCAGGAGGCGGAGGTTGCGATGAGCCGAGATCACGCCATTGCACTCCAGCCTGGGTAACAAGAGCGAAACTCCGTCTCAAAAAAAAAAAAGAAAAGAAAAACCTCCAGTAGGATGTTAAACAGAAGTGGGAGAGTGCGCATCCTTGTCTTGTTCTTAATTGTGGAGGAAGAGCTTTCAACTTT